TTAAAAAGTTAGCGTTCATCCTCCAGTTTCACTGTGTTTATGTTATGCTAACCATAGCTGTTTAGCTAGCCACCACATAGCACATCATTATATACAGCTAATCCAACTTCAGTAACCCTACAAATGTCATTGCTGTTTACTTTTCTGTCTTCATTTATGTTGGAAGTGATAGCAGAGCTGTACGTTTTAATTTTTTCAGAAATCTCTCGGTCAGAACATGCTATATCATGTTTAGGTGGGAACTAGCGAGCTAACTTCCTGCTAACTTCAAACTCTGTTAAAGTTAATAAACTCTGTTTTCATGGATGCCTGGATTTTAAACTTAATTGTTACACCTGGTAGAGCAGCCACATTGATCATTTTATTACAGATGAAATAATTTAGCCAGTGACTGTCTGTGATGCTGCAGTGTACATTTTTACTTTGGGACCTGAAGCAGAGGTTGAGATTGGACCCGGAAATGGCTAATGACGTCAGACTTAAAGACGGTTATCCATGAAGGGAGTTGCAAACTCTGGTGTTTATCTTTTTCTGGGGCTGGTGCTTCAAACTCAAGCCAAGTTTATTGCTTCTTTAACCATCTTTGCTCATGTCATCAATTAAAATGATAAAATCGCATTAGATAATACAACAAGCCATTGAAATAAAGCAGTGATTGTTTCTCCGTGTACATATTTTATTAAGACTTTTCCCAAACTTTTGCGTACTGCTTATTTACGGGCTTGGAAAAACAAAATTTGATACAATGATTCAGTCAGTTGCTTGTTGTTGTTCTTCCCAGGGGCCATTTTTTAAACCAGTCATGGAAGTCATAGAAAAGTCAAATAAGTAAAGTCAGCTTGGTTTGAATTGGGGAAAAGAACATCCAGCTCTCTGTCAAGGCTATAACTCTGAGATTTTTTATTAATGTTGTAAAAGAAGTGAGTCAGACTCAGCCAGTCTGCAAAATACTTTCCATGTACTCGATACTCTAGCTAAATTCTTAGTTGAGAGAAAGGACCCCAGTGTCCAAAGCAGTTGCTGTAGCCCTCTATTGATTGCTTAATGTTGTTTGCTTGCTTGGGTTTGTTCTGTTTTGTGCAGAGCTGGAGGTAGCGAGAATGAGCACAGATGGGAATTTGCCTGATCTGAAGTTCCCACAATCCGGAGGACAAGGCAACTCTATCCACCTCTCAGCGAACACACTGAAGCAGCACGGAAGAAACGGTAAGAAGTTCAACCTTTTGAATCTGCTTTTATTGCTCCCGTATTGTGGGTTTGAAGTGCAATCATGGCTCATACGCGCCTTCACTCTGTGTTTTATTATTCAGGGTTATGATAAATTTAAGAGAAAAGTTTCAACTTTGCTACAATAGAAATATTGTTATATTACTTGTACAACTTACAAGAGCTGCTGTAATTAATCAAAAATTCTTTTGCTGTTTGTCGTCTTTTCTTTTTTGCTTCTTCCACTTGTGTCATTGCATGGGCCTCCATTGGTTTTGGAGGAATTTTATCACAGATGCTGGTGAATAACTTTCGCTTTGCTACCCCAGTCCTTTGTTGGTCTGCATATAAAGCGCTTAGATCTTTCTGCAGCCTCTGAATAAGACCCTGGCTGTTGAATTAGTTACATTCAAGCTCTGCCACTAAACTGTAAATGAGGCAGTTAGACTCTATACATAGATATCTTTGGGAGCAGTGTCGCCCCATTTTTAGACTTTTATTATCAGCTCATGCAAATCAGAATCGACTCAAGCTGCGTCCCCGTGTCTGTGCTGGATGACTAAGTCCACGTCCAGCCGTGCCCAGGCGGATCATTATAGCAGGGTGGCGAATATTTCCCCGATATGCAGTTCCATAGCACCCAAATTGTTTTCTTTTCATCAGAGTGAGTGATCTCAGACACGGCGGGAGGGAACTTTGAATGCACAAAAGTGAGACAGCAGGAGGCAATGGGGAGAGGAAAAAGGAGGAAATGATTAACAAGAAAAATGGTTGCCTTTGTCAGTGCCAATAGGAGTCCTGTTTTTTTTATTCAAGTCTGATGATTTCTGAATGATTTCTGCTTTTCTGCCTCGTGTGCAGCCATATTTGTAGCTCTGTCTGTTGTCTGTACTATGTGCTGCTCTGACTTTAGATTTAAGAAGCTTTGTTTAGTGAGTGGATCCATTCGTTATCACTTTTAGCATTTTTTCTCATTTGAGTGTGCTGTGTGAGCGGTATAAATAACATGACAGATTATCATGTGCATTGTTTTCACATTATGTAAGGACTGCACCCTAGGTTTGTGGACACAATCTAAAAAAACATTGAGTATAAACCATTTTAAACTATAGTTCAGATACCTCGGCTCTCTGGTGCAAGAAAAGAAAGTGGCATCAACGGTGGAAGTACACTCAAGAATCGTTCAAGCGGCAGCGCCGGCTTTCGCCTCCCTCCGATGGTGCATCTGGAAGAAGACAAACGTCACCCTCATCACTAAATCCGCCTGTACTGCACACTAGAATTGCCCATTCTTTTCTATGGATCCGAGACCTGGGTCATAATCAAGCACGACCTCAACAAGCTCGAGGTCTTCCAAATGTGCTGTTTGCATCAGATTCTCAGAGTGTCGCTCGGTGACCGTCTCAGCAACAGCGTGATATCTAGTCAATGTCACCAGCAGCCCTCGATGGAAGAGCTGATCCAGAAGTGACGACTTCATCTGCCGCATGAGTAACCATCGCCTGCCATATCGCCTTCTGCTGTAGCAGCACCCCACTGGAGAATCAAGAGTGATGCGCCCAAGAAGACTTGGATCAAGCAAATTGAAGATGATCTTAAACAACAACGTCTCATCCTCGAGCAAGCAAAGGTCAAGGCCAGATATCACAAGGCCTGGAAGTGCATCGTTGACCAAGATGGAAACCCTACGGCACCCACTGCGACGTATCGGCTTCGGGCGACCTGTCCTCCTGACCGCCAGCTAGGGAAAAAAGAAGAAAGAAATAAAGAAACTATAGTTCAATGCCAACATGAAGATGTCCCGTGAGCAAAGAAATTATTTTCTAAAACTGACCCAGGTGATGTTTTCTTCTTTGAGCTTCTGTATCCGGTTGTTAAGTGATGACGTGACGAATCCT